TGTGAGCTTGCAGTGCGGGACGTTGCCTGAAGTATGTCCTAGGCCTGATCGGCAGCGTGCAATTGCAATTCGGATTGGACACGCTAATGGCTTCGAGAGAGGGACAGTGCGTGGGGTGCCTGATACACAGGGTGCAAAGTGCATCGGGTGCGTTGCACAAAGTGCTTGCTGGTGGGTCAAGGACACCTCCTCATGCACGCATATAAACCCCGCTGTACTCCCAATAAGCATAATTAAAGAACTTGTCCTCTCAATCTAAGAGCAAAGAGTCGGCTCTGGCTCAGACCGTGCCTTTGCAGATGCCGAAGGCTGAACTTGACCCGGAATTTGTCCTGCCCTAGGGCGATCCCTCGCTAATGCAGTTCATTCCCCTGTCGGACTTGTGTAAATTGCGGCATGACATGGATTTCTAGGCTGTATGCTCCCAGCTGCAGAGCTATGTGCCGATACAGCGAGGTTGCATATCTGGTGGGAGGTTTGTCCTCCACCTCTCAGGAAGTAGGCTCTGGAAGGCGGGATGGAAGCAGCTGTCTGCAGGAATGGCGTCCTGACTTTGCAGAAGCAGCTGCCTGCCCTCCACAACCGATCTGATACAATCATGAACTCAGGTTTCCTAAACTCTCAGCTGCTTCAGCTGCAGCGATGTGAAGTTGGGGGATTTTTGCTGCCGGTCTTGATCTATCGCCTTTCCTTTTTCCGTGTGCACGAGGGGAGTATTTACTCTCTCGGGACTTTGCTGTGGCAAAATGCAGGACAATGTAGCACTTTGCTGTGTGTGTCACACTCCCCGGGAGCTCAGCGCTTTGCGCAGGGAGCGGAGGGAGCAGCGAATGCATGAGGACAGTGCATGCCTAGCAGGGAGGCTGGGGCGGCTGGTATCCCCCGCTCCCCTCGTTGGTCACCCAAGCCCCCGTGCCACCGCCATTGCCTGCGCGGCTCCAGCGCCTGGCTTGGCAGGGCGAAGGCAGACGGGGCAATGCGCCCCCTCCTCCCGGAATCGCTACTGCGCCTGCGCCGCCGGGCTGCGCTGATTGGCTGCCGCAACGGGTATATAAAGGTGGCGCAGGCGGGGCCCGGATCTCTTCCGCCGCCATTTTACTGCTCCGTTCTCTGTTCGTAGCTTTCTCTCGCGTCTGCCCGAGCCGCCCTGCCCCGCCATGGAGGACATGACCGAGTACAGCGGCGGCCTGGAGGAGTTCGCCGAGGGCTCCAAGATCAACGCCAGCAAGAACCAGCAGGACGATGGGTACGAGCCGGGCGGGCGGGTTCCCCATGTCCTCCCTGCACCCCCCCCCCCTTGGGAGTTGCTCGCGCTCGCCCGCCCCCTCCCTGCAAGGCTGGGGGGGGGGGGGGGGAATCTCGTCTTCGCGTTCTCTTTGTGTCTCCTTCTTGACCTGTTTTCGAGAGGGCGGGACTATGTCAATCACTGGGCCGTGACGTAACCGGCAACCAATGGGAAGCGGGGCCGGAGCGCGCGCTGGCTGTCCGGGGCAAGCTGCGCGCGCGCGCGTGCGCTCCTGCCACGCCGCGTCCCGGCTCGCGCGGGCGGGCCTCTAGTTGCAGCCCGTCGGCCGAGCGTCTGAGCGGGCGGCAGCTTGTCGGGCGCCCGGGAGAGTTCAGGGCAGGGAGAGCTGAAGCATTGCTTCCGAGCGCGTTAGCAGGGGGCCCGCAGCCTCAGGCCTGAGTGTATTCGTGCAGAGGTGCCCCGATCAGCTGGCCACAAGCGCCCAGCCTGCAAACACTTAGGGCTACGATTGAGCTCACTGCCATGTATGTGATTCGTGGGACTAAAGTTAAATGCATGCATCCATGTTTTGGATCGGGGCCTGAGGATTTTAATACCTTTAAATAGTTATACGGAATTATGCGTGTGTACGTTTGGAGCCCCTGAAAATAAGTTTAGTGAACTGAATGTTGTCTGATCAATTGGGAAATTTTACCTCTTTGGTATTATAGTTTCTTTGGATCTTGAAGTGATTTGCCAAGTACTCTGCTTTTCATTAAACACTTTGTTTTTCTATTCTAGCAAAATGTTTATAGGAGGCCTCAGCTGGGACACAAGCAAGAAAGATTTGACTGAGTATTTGTCTCGGTTTGGAGAGGTGGTGGACTGCACAATTAAAACAGATCCAGTGACTGGGCGGTCCAGGGGATTTGGCTTTGTGCTCTTCAAAGATGCTGCCAGTGTTGACAAGGTATGGAGGGGTCTGTATGATTGGATTTAGTAATCATTTGGGATTTGATGGTTTTCTGAATCTCTTGTGTGTGTGACAATTTTTTAGGTCTTGGAATTGAAGGAACACAAACTGGATGGCAAGCTAATTGATCCTAAAAGGGCAAAAGCACTGAAGGGAAAAGAGCCACCCAAAAAAGTGTTTGTTGGTGGACTGAGTCCAGATACATCTGAAGAACAGATTAAAGAATACTTTGGTGCTTTTGGAGAGGTATTGTATAACTATTTTTAATACTTACTTCTGTGTTGGGCACAAAGTTCAGTCTTCCTATGGCAGAAATATTGTGAACAGGATATTATAGTTGGACTAAAAAGGTCCATGTCTGATTTGAGATTTGAAAACATGGTAACTGCAAGTTGTAATGCTAGTTTTTGAAACAAAATACAGAAATTATACTGCAGTAAAATATGTAGTTGGATCAACTTGGAGCTTAACAGTTCTATTGGAACTGTTCCCTCTTAACAAATAGTTCTGTACTATTTTGATTGTTTATAAATTGCAGTGGGATGGTTATTGTATTTTTTTAAATATCCTATTAAGTTGGCATGAAATTTGACTTCCACTTCAGTGTTATGTGGGATATAAAACATAAACATGGCTTTTATTTAACTTTTGTTTACAGATAGAAAATATCGAACTTCCAATGGACACAAAGACAAACGAAAGGAGGGGTTTCTGTTTCATCACATACACAGATGAAGAGCCAGTAAAAAAATTATTAGAAAGCAGATACCATCAGATTGGTTCTGGCAAGGTATGGATGGATGTTTTTGTTTCAGAGATCTAATATTGACAGTTCAATAATTTGGGGAGTGTTTGTTTATGGTGCCTAGTAGTGTTTTTATATATGTACCTTATCTGTTTTACAGTGTGAAATCAAAGTAGCACAGCCCAAAGAGGTGTATAGACAGCAGCAGCAGCAGCAACAGAAAGGTGGAAGAGGTGCTTCATCTGGTGGCAGAGGTGGCGGCAGGGGACGTGGCAGGGGTGAGTTTAAAACTTTAAAATGTGTGTATGTAAGGATGAATGCATTTTAAGTTCTTGTTTTGGCTTATTCTAAAAAGGGTTCTCCCAACCAAATATTATGTGGCGAATACATGAGTGGAAAATAAGTTGTTTGTACTGACTTAATCAAAACACTTTTAGTGAACCCTTACTTGCATTACAGGTACTAACAGGTTGCAAATTCCTGGATTTAGAAGCTGTTCCTTAAAAGGCATCATTTGAATGCCTGATATTTACTTCAAAGCTGCGTGTATTCAGTCTGACACATAATGTTGACATGGGAAGGGAGCCATGCTATCTCCTGACAGAAGTGCAGGAGAGATTTTCCAAACAAAGGAGAGCCAGATATAATGCAAGATTGAAAATAAGTAATCCTGTTAACTGATGATTCCCCAGTTCTTAACTTCATGGATCAGAACAAAAGTTTTTGTACTACAACTAAATATTGAGATTCATATTAAAGAAGCTCTAGAGGAAATGGAAATTTCTTTAGAAAAAGGCAAGCTGTGCCTACCCTTGTTCACATGCACTTTTATAGGACAGGGTCAAGTTAATTGTACCAAATGAAGACCCCCAAGTCATGCATGTATAGTATACTGTACTATATTGTATGTATACTTGTAGAATGAAGGGATCCTTACCTGTAGCCATTAGAGATCACATTTGATACCTATCTTAAAATTAAACTTAACTGCTACATTTTATTTCAGGTCAGGGACAAAACTGGAACCAAGGATTTAATAACTATTATGATCAAGGATATGGAAATTACAACAGCACTTACAGTGATCCAAGCTATAGTGGTTACGGTGGATATGATTATTCTGGCTACAATTATCCAAGCTACGGATATGGACAGGGATATGCAGACTACAGTGGTAAGAATGTTTGCTGTATGTGGGGGCTAAGTGTAATAGATCTTCTTTTTTCTAATATTTTAGTATGCATAGTATTTCATTGTTAGATCTCAAGCAAATTGTGATAAGTATTTCATAAAACTGTAAACGTCTATGCAGGCAATGGCAGGAAAACTGTATTTCTTGAGAGTTGTCTGAGTCAACAATTGGATGTGAAATATAATTTTTCATTCTCTCAACAGGTCAACAAAGCACATATGGAAAAGCATCCCGAGGTGGCGGCAATCACCAAAACAACTACCAGCCATATTAAAGGAGTACATAGTACTTGGGGGGGCAGCAGGTGTGTATATAAGTGCAAGCACCACTTTCAATATGTCTAATCTAATTTAAAGATCAATAGACAAATTAAAATGAGTAAACACATTTTTCTCTTGTAGTCTGACTTTTTAAACTAAACTTTGTTAACTTAAAAGATTTTTTTTAAAAACATGCTTTGCCTAAAGTGTCTATAGATCTTTAACTTCGTAAAATGTGATTTCATCTTCTTTAGTACTTCAGAAAAACTTAAGAGTTTTTCTGTTTGCGTTGTGTACCAGGTGATCTAGAGGAATAATTAAACTTATTAGAAGTATTAACAGGTAAAGTACTGAAATGGGTACAACTTAAGGAAAACAAGAATGTTGTCTTCTAACTCTGACATTATACCTTGTTTGTACCCGCCAGCGGGAACTTCATTGCAGGCCGTGTGTCACCCTGACCACGTCTATCTCTGGGGGTCGCACGTTGCAGGCAGAGCGCAAGGCATACACCAGAAAACGCTGTCCTGTGGTATGGTCTCTTCCAACTTCATGTACCAGCGTAAAGATTAAAGTGGAAAACTTCAGACTTTGGCTTCTTTTTAATCTTTTTGAAGATTAAGTGTCTTAACTTAAATGGTTTTTTACAGGAGTTAAAGTACATAAATGCCTTTACAGCTTAATCATTTTGGTCTTCTGTTTAGTGTTGTATTTCAATTGTGGAGCCTCATTTTAAGTGTGCATTCTTTAAGATTTAATGCTTGCTTTTTCTTTTTATAGCTAATAGTGAAATCTGCAAACCAAAACGAACTTTTAAATCTGGAAAAATATTAAAGATCATATGCACACAAACTACATCATGCTAATGTTTTTTGGCAATGTTCATTAACAAGAATTAAGTTAGGCTAATTGTTTTTCTTAACAGCATTTCTAGTGGAAACATTTTTCACAGCCCAGTTTGACACACACACAAATTGTAACTTCTTGCTTAATTTGCAGACTCCTTGTTCTGAAACAGCTTCCTGAGTGGGCTGAAATGCTATATTTGGGGAGATGAAAGATTTCTAGTTACCAATAACGTTAAATATGCATATGATCTTTAACCATGAAGAAAGGAATAAATAGAGGACTTAAAGCAGTTCATGAAAATGGACCTTTTAACAAATCTTGTAAAAGTTGCGCAGATCTGATAAGTCATTTTGTCTTGTTTGTAGGTGGAGATACCACAGTAAAGTCATCTTGCAGAACATCAGGATTGAATGGAGAGTGGTCTTCATGACATGAAATGACTTTTCTAAAAGACTTTTTAGACTGACACAATCGTGTCCAACTGTATATAGCGGCTGATTAGTTTTCTTTATGGTTTTTACTTTGTCTTTTTTTGCCATCTGTGTTATGACACAATGTGGACTTGTGTTTATACAAATTTTATTTGTATAATTTCATGTTAAGTGATTCTTGAATAAATGCTTACCTATGTGATTCTGTCTTCCTTTGCTGCTTAGTTTTGTAAGCTTTAATTTTTAATTAAGCCGTTTCAAGGACCGCAGTCTTTCCAGATCTGGGGGGAGAGCCTGTATTGGAACCAGGGCCTTGAATGCCTTTCTGGGCCCCTAATTTCCTCAATATAAGCTCAGGGAATTGTTTGAAGTCTTAACATCGTCTGACTTTTAAAACATGCTGTTAAATGATTACATGGCTTCTTGTTGCACTAAGATAACTAAGACCATCTTAAACGTGTTTGAAATCATCCTGTCACCTCTTCCTGTTGTACCCCACGATCATTTTGACACACCTTGTGTTAGCATTTCATATTTCTTGCTGTTGAATTTAATTGCTATGGACTTCCTACTTGGAGCAGTTTTGTGCAATGTGATGGGGTTAACTGTGTACAAGTTTGAGCCTTTGGGATGCTGGTGGATGTTCACTGTTTCTAGAGAGCCTAACGTTTTTATATTAAATGGCTTACTCTAATAACTGGACAAGAAAGGAACTAGTTAAATGTGATGAGAAAGCAAAAAGTCAATCATTTCCATTAATGCACGTAGCAATTAATAGATTATCATACTGTAGTGAATTTAACTCCATTTTCAGTTAAGGCCTGTGTTCCAAAAATGTATAATGCATTAAATTATATGTATTGATCAATAACTTGGTTACATTTAAAATAGTTAATGAACTGTCTGAATGGGGAGTCCCAAGTAGTTGAGTCGTCTTGATGTTCAGTGAGTTTTACCTATTGCTAAAGGGTTTTTTTAAGTAACAGGTTTGTCTAAATAAGTGTTGATGAATGGTTTAATGGCTAGCATATAAACTCTAGCTCTATTATGCAAAGCCTCAATATTCTAGGGGATCTGGTCAACTTTTTTAGCAACAGTTCACTAGTGTAGAACTGACTTAATTCCATGCTCTGAATCTTGGAGCCAGAAGCACTGTAGTCCACACTGGTTTAGGTCTTAACTTTGCAGCTCTCCATAAGTAGTTCAACCTGGCCATGCACACATGCATGTCTAATCATGGATTTAAAATATATTGTTTAGAAGACAGATGGGACTTTATTCACAGCAGTATAAGTCTTTTCTGTACTGTTTTGTCCATCTTTTATGTCCTTTGCATCTTTCATTTCTTTCCAGTGTATTTGCTCATTGGATTTGTTGGTCTCATCTGCCTTTCCATGTAAAAATGGGTTGCTTAACATAATTCTTTGCTCAAGCACTGCTGCAGCTTGGACAGATCTGGCAATGTTGGGGGGAATGCTAGTAAAGATGCCTGTAGATGATCTACATTACATCTCATGCTGTTCCTGGTGATAAAATAATTACAGCTAATGTGTACTACTCTTAAACTACTGATGCTGGTAGACCAGCGTGGGAAGCCAATATCAGCAGATATGGCCCTGTTGAACTATTTGATGGCGCTGGCAATTAAATTAATGCCTAGTTGCTGGTAGGAGTAGCTTTTGCTCCCTTTAATTACCTCTGCATTTCTGAAGTATACATGTTTGTCAATTAGTGTTGTATGTTAACTGTAGTTATTTGGACTGTAGAATGACAAATCTAAATTATTTTCTTCAACATAGTGATATAACTTGCTATATTATCAGAGCTTTGATTCTTTTTATTTTGTCATAAATGGTTATATCTTTCTTGTATGGTGATCTTTCACGAGTTACTCATCCTCTTTGCCTCGGGCTGCTTTCTAAAGACCTTTTTTTTGCCTGAAATTATAAAAAACAATGAATGAAGCCTTTTAAAGTCCTATTTAGACCTTAGTTGAAAAGTGCTATAGAATTTAAGACGAGTATTTCAGAGAAATACAAAATAAGCATCTTTCTACAGACTCTAAACTTGTACTCAGCCTAGTACTTGAAGTCAGTAGACCTGTATAAGGGCTATTTAAGATACATCTTGGAAACTATATATTGCTAATTTTCATGGGAATCTTACATGTAAACTTTTATTACAAGGTTTACAGGCTATTTAATGGGCATTGTCTCCCTTAATCTGGGTCATCTTTTTGTAAAGATGCTAGACATTATGAAAAGGTTCCTACTCTGTATCTTTAAATATTCTTCATACATAATCCAAATACAAAGATGGTCTCTGGTCCCTGCCCCAGGATACTTATGAATTCTAGAAATGTTTTTGTTTTCCCAAAATGTCCCATTACCAATCTAGAAAAACTAGCCAGCATGTCTGTATGAAGAACATTGTGCTCAACTTGAAAGTGTAAATTTTGCCAGCTGAGTAGTCGTCTTCTGTTCAGTCTCCTCTTTTTGCAAGATTAAACTACAGCTTTCCTTTAGTGTACTTGTAACATGTTTTTTTCCACCATCTGCTATGAATTTTAATACTTTACTTTTGCTCTGCTTTTATGCCTTTCTCCCCTCATTTACAGCTGCTTGCCCTTCAAGCTGGCCTCAGTTAATCAAGGTTTCTTTGGTTGCATCTAGCTGCTTTTCTCTGCTTTTTTTTTTAAAGATGCACTAGTAGTAGGTATTGACTCATCCAAACAGTGTGGCTTGTGCAGAACCAGCACACAGAAGACTGCACAAATGTAATTTAAAATGACACTTCTCAGCATAGGTCAAGTTTTTAAACACATGGGCTACGTCTACACTGGCCCCTATTCCGAAATAGCTATGCTAATTTCCAATTTTGGAATAGGGAAATCTGCGGGGGATTTAAATATCCCCTGTGGGATTTAAATAAACATGTCTGCCGCTTTTTTCCGGCTTGGGGAAAAGCCGGAAAAAAGCATCTAGACTAGTGCGATCCTCCGGAATAAAGCCCTTTTCCGGAGGATCTCTTATTCCTACTTTCAGATAGGAATTTCCCTATTCCAAAGTTGGAAATTAGCATGGCTATTTCGGAATAGGGGCCAGTCTAGACGTAGCCATGCTGAAAAACCAAGGTCTTTTACTAATCTTAGAATTACTTACGTGGGTAGTCAGCGTCTCTGCTTATGTATAGGTAGTAAACGAAGACCTAGTCTCAAATACTTTTTCTCTTTGGTTAAAAGAGTATCAGATTAGTAGAATCAAATTACCACATTTTTTTTTCCCAAAGTCTTTTGTTATCCTAGTGCCTACTTCAGATAAGACTTTTTTTGGGTAGGGAGAGGACTATCCTGATACTCAAACTAGAGTAGGCATTTCTGTTTTAGCTCAATTTTCTCCTCCACTCCCCCCCCCCCCCCAAATCACTTATTTTAAAGACTACAACAGCCCTACATGTGAGGATAAGCTATTACCATAAGGTCTAGAGTTGAGAAGACAATAGACACGCAGTAGAGGAAATACTTGTAGCAGTCTAAATGTGATCGAACATGGAGGATGAAATGCTAGCTCATTACAACTAATAGAAAATTAGTCAGCAACACAGGCTACATCTACACTGGCCACAATTTCCAGAAAAGCCATGCAAATCAGGTAAGTCAGGATAGGGAAATCCACAGGGGATTTAAATAAACATGTCCACTGCTTTTTTCCGGCTTGGGGAAAAGCTGGAAAAAAAGCATCTAGACTGGGATCCTCCTCTGGAATAAAACCCTCTTCCGGAGGATCTCGTATTCCTCCTTCGAAGTAGGAATAAGAGATCCTCCGGGAAAGGGCTTTATTCTGGAGGATCGCACCAGTCTAGACGCTCTTTTTCTGGCTTTCCCCAAAGCTGGAAAAAAAGCGGTGGACATGTTTATTTAAATCCCCTGTGGATTTCCCTATCCTGATTTGCATGGCTTTCTTGGAAATTGTGGCCAGTGTAGACATAGCCTAGTAGTTTAGACTGAGGATTTCAGTCTTGGCCATACACTGATTCTTTAAGCGTAAGGATCTGCTTGTACAACTCTTGAGTCTTTTCTGAGACCTGCCTTCTAATACAAGTTATTTTAAAATGGGTTAAATAGCAAATTGTTTACAGTTTGAGTGTCAACTTTGATATGTTTTTTGGAATCAGCCTTTCCTCTTCTAAAAGGGAAGGGGTGGGAAATAATTTCTAAGTACTGACCAGTGTCTTCTAACCAAATAGCTTCATGATATTTTGAATGCAATCGTTTTTAAAAACATACCTTTTTTTCCTACTGGCTTTCCTGGAGCCTTCTAGTACTAACATTTCCTTCTTGTGCAAGCAGGTACTTTTCCCCCTTCTTCTCTCTCCCCCCCCCGCCCCCCCAAATGTAGTAATCCTTTCTCCTCCTTGCCACAGCACAAGGACTGCCTACAGCTACATCTAGACTGCAAGCCTCTTTCAAAAAAGAGCGTCTACACTGTGATCAGTACTTCCGAAAAAGCAAGCTGCTTTTTTGAAAGAAAGCACCTAGGCAGTCTGGATGCGCTTTCAAAAACACCCTGTTTATATTCAAGAACACCTTTTTTCCCCCCCGAAAGAGCACTTTTTTTTTAAAAAAAAAGGGTGTTCTTCCTTGTGAAATTAGGTTTACGGCTGTGGGAAGAAAAAAAAGCTGCGTTTTTGATTTAATTTCGAAAGAACGTGGCTGTTGTCTAGAGGCAAGTGAAGTTTTTTCGAAAGAACCCTCGAGTGGGGACCCAGCCTCGGAGAGCGAGTCCTTTCCCTTTCAAAACACACTGATGGAGCTGGGCTCATCTGCCCTCGCGGAGCCACTCGGGCCTGGGCGGCGACTCCCTGACTCCGGGACGAGACCCCTCTGCGGGGGCTGGTGGACTGATGGTAGCGCAGCGGCAGGGGCGCAGCTAAGCTCTCGCTGCCGCCAAGGCCCCCCCCCAAGCAGCGGGGTGTTG